TTGGTCAAAGCTCAGCCACTGAGCCATGCTGGCTGGCAGTAGTAGTTTTATGAGACCTATGCTTTTAATAATATTAGTACTTTCAGTTTTCCATTTTCTAGTCATTTTTTTTTCTGAATAAAGGAAGTATGCAATAATATATTCATAGTTACACAGACATTGTTGTAAGATAGTGCTGCTGAAACTTAACTTGGGTTTGCTGATATACAAAAGTCTGAATTTAGCATATTAAAGGCAGTTTAGGGGGATCAATATATAATGAACAAAAATACACTTCATATGACAGTCAAATGTCTCTTTACAATATGTTATCTATAACAATAAAAGGGTAATATGCTAATCATTCCAGACATCCTTCCTGACGAAGATGGGGCCGGAAGGAAGCCAGCCCGGGTCCCGGGTGCCTGCCGGTGGCCAGAGGAGGGAAGCCTGGGTCCCGGGTGCTAGAGGGAAACTGATGTCAGCAGCCGGTGGAAGGAAGGCCTACTCTTGCATGAATTTTCGTGCATCAGGCCTCTAATATATATATGTGTGTATATATATATATATATATATATATATATATATATATATATATATAAAGCCTAAGTGACCATCCTACTGGCTGACCGCTCAACCGTCCGACTGGTAGCTATGACGTGCACTGACCACCGGGGGGCAGTCGCTCAACACAGGAGTGGAAACCACAGGCATGGAAACATGGAACAGACTGATGAATCTCAGAGGAAAGGGAGGAGGAGGGTGGAGGGACGGTGGGAAGAGATTAACCAAAGATCTTATATGCATACTAGAGGCCTGGTGCACGGATTTGTGCACCAGTGGGGTCCCTTGGCCTGGCCTGTGCCCTCTCGCAATCTGGGACCCCTTGGGGGATGTCAGAGAGCTGGTTTTGGCCTGACCCCCGCAGGCCAGGCTGAAGGACCCCACCGGTGCACGAATCGGTGCACTGGGCCTCTAGTATATATATAAAAAGCCAGCAACCAGAACGCCTTAACGGCCATAACGACCAGTTGCTATGACGCCCACTGTGGCCAGCAAACCCTCCCAATCAGGGGGTGGGGCTGGCAGGCCAACTTCCTGCAGCCCCTCCCCCCAGCCAGCTCTGCCCCAATCAGCCCCCCCACTCCAATTGGGCAGGGCCAGCCGGCCAACCACCCATGGCCCCTTCCCCAGGCCACTAGCCCCCAGTTGGCCCCCCCCTGACCCCATTCAGGGATGGGGCTGGCCAGCCCACCTCCCAGAGCCCCTCCCTGCAGCTGGTCCCACCCCCAATCAGCCCCCACCACACTGATTGGCCCGCAGCCCCTCCCCCAAGCCAGCCCCACCCCGATTGGCCCCTCCCACACCAATCGGGGGTGGGTCCAGCCTGCCCACAGCCCCTCCCCACAGTTGGCCCCGCCCCCAATTGCCCCCCCCCACTTGGGGGTGGGCCAACTAGCCAACTTCCTGCCGTCTCCTCCCCACAGTCCTGGCCCCAATCCGATTGGGGCTGGGCAGGCCGGACCTCACCCGTGCACGAATTTGTGCACTGGGACTCTAGTTTATAATAATAAAAGTGTAATATGCTAACTAGACCAGACAGCCAAACGACCTTCCAGATGTCATTCTGGACGGAGCCATAGGGGCCGAGGCAGAGGCAGTTAGGGGCAATGAGGCAGGCAGACAAGTGGTTAGAGGCAATGAGGCAGGCAGGCAGGGCAGCGGTTAGGAGCTAGTGATCTTGGATTGCAAGAGGGTGCAGGCCAGGCTGCGGGTCCTCCTCCCACCCCTGTGCACAAATTTTGTGCACCAGGCCTCTAGTGCGATATAATAAAGAGCTAATATGCTAATTAGGCCTGACAGCACAACGGCCTTTTGGAACAACCAGTGGGTGAGGCTGCGAGGCAGCCGGGGCCATAAGGGCCGAGGCAGCCAGGGCTGTGAGGGCCGAGCCCCTTGCATGAATTTCGTGCATCGGGCCTCTAGTTAAATATAATGATGTAAAAACATTTTAAAGGCGTTCCAGGGTCCAGCCCCAGGGATCCAGGGGTTCCCAAAGGTGTGGACGGAGTCGGCAAAGAATGTTTTACACGGAGACAGCGTTCAGAACTCTCTAGCTCTCTTTAGTCTCCGTGGATCTTCCTGTGCCTGGCTGAGGCCACAGAGAAAGATCCCGAGGCAAGCTGAGCCTTTATTTTTTATAGTCAGAGGTAAACAAGGTAGTGGTTACCAAAGTTACACTGTTCTTGTGAGTTTCACTTGTTTACACTGTTCTTGTGAGTTTCACTTGTTTTTGTTCTTATTGCACTTCCCTCAGCCTATTAGCTTCCCAGGTAAGATCTAGGGAGCGTTATAAGGTCAAGCCTAATTATGCTTAAGAGGACTGTGCCCTCCAAGCTGGGACTTGTTTGTGACTTTGCCAACAGGTCAGTCCGAGGTTTAACCCTATAGCGGCTCCCCACAAAGGAGGAAAATTGGAGAGAGATGGCTAGCGAGGTTCAGATTCTCTATTTTAAAAAACACTTTTCCTCAAAATTCAATAATATAGGATTTGGGATGTACCAGTAAAAAACAAATGTCTTTTTTTTCTAGCATAGGAATGGCAACTTAGTGCACTTTCTTAAAATTTTTAAATTACCATTGTTATAGAAAAACCATTCAGACAAAACAGTTTATGGCATAGACAATAGAACTCTTCTCACCTAGTTACTAATTTATAACTATAATTCAGTTATAACTAATATTGGACTAAATAGAGCAAGTCAGGTTCCATAAACAGTTGTTCCCATTATAAAAATTTGTACTGTAGGGGAAATGTACATTTATTCGCGGATCTAGTTCCTTGAGGGCAGAGATGTGTAGCCTCCTCATTTCTATATCCTAGATCAGACCCTGGCTCATAAATGCTCAGTCAGTTTTGCTGAAAGAAAGTGTGGAGCAATCAGAGCCACAGGCTCTTGGGGAATCTTGCCCTTCAGCTAGCATGGCAAGGAAAACTCACTGCAGGTATGTTTGGTTTCCATCAGGCAAATAGTGGTCCCAGTACAAATGGCTGCCAGTTCTTCATCACCTGCTCTAAGTGTGATTGGCTGGATGGGAAGCACGTAGTGTTTGGTGAGTCCTACTCCTGTTCTATGGTCCTGGGCCCATTCACTCAAAGTGGGACTCCCAAAAGAGCCAGTCCCCGCACTCTCATACCCAGAGGTCTTGACTTGTTTAACTGCTCTGTGCAGTAGTGGGGTAAGTGGAAGCGAAAGTGGGAGGTGGGGAGGATGTGTAAGGACAAAGGGGCCATCTGGTAAAGTGCATAGCCACTTGGGTGATATGTATGTCTAAGGGGAAAACCCCCAGATGGTATTATTTAAGAAATACCACACAGGCAGCATGGTGCAGTGGAGCTTTGCAATTGCTCAGATCTAGGTTTGAGCCCTAATTCTGCTGCTTACTATCTGTGACCTTGGGTAAGTCATTTCATCTCCATGGAATCTCAATTTCCTGAAATTGGTATGGGGATCAAATGAGACAGTGGTGTGAGAAGGGGCATTGGAAGCTGGAAAATGCTATGCAAATTGAGAATAGTAAAATCCAGTTCATA